GCTGGAGTCGAGAGGCACAGAAGGGGGTAAAAATTGTACCTGGATGTGGTCCTCTGTCTTAAGTGTACACATATAAGGTTAAGCCTGTTCTTTGGTACCATTATTTCTATTTTCCTATCTTTATCTTCTTTGTAACCATTTTTAAGATCTATATTTTGCTAGCAGTTAAGAAATAGAACAATAGCCATTGCAACCATATGATTTATAAGCTTCCTCAATAAACCTGTAACTGTTGAAGCTTTAACCTGATTCCTTCAGTTGCTGTAACAGAACAGGCACAATTTAAAAGAACTTCAGCCGGTCTTAAGGGACAGATATAGGGAGAGCTTAGGCGTTTGGATTTGTGTCACTCCCAGGTGGCAGATCCGTTGGGGCACTTCTCAGCCTCCCTCAGGCTGCCCGCTGCAAAGGAATCTCAGATTCTAGCAGCTAAAATCTGAAGTGTAATAAGCTCTCCCTGCAAACTTATTGGGGCGCTCGTCAACCTCCTCCAGGTTGCCCGCTGCAAGGGACCCCGGTCTCAGCAGTTGAAGTCTCGGGTGTATAGCACACACACACACACACACACACCAGTCACTGCCCTGACCGTCGGCTGACATCTCTGCAATGCTGCCTCTTTATCAGGGCAACAAGCAGCTGGTCCGCAAGAGGAGCTGGTTTATAAACTGGGTCCCCTTGCAGACTAGCTCACTTGGCACCCTGCACTGCTATTGGCCCTGCCCCCAGGGACTACAGAAGAGTCAACTAACCGCTCAGAATTCATGAGGTTACTCAACTAATCAATTATCCGATATTTAACATCCCTAATCCAGGGATCATTCACTCACTTGATACCTGGTGTGGATGGAAAGAGACACTGCAAAACAGATTTTTTGGAGGGAGAGGGGGGGAATCGAAATGGGAATCTGCAAAGAAGTTTTGCTGTTGTCCCCAACAAGGAACATTGTCCTTTAGGGGCATTCTTATTACAAAGCCTCCATCCCTTTAAAGCCAGGCATTCTGGGAGTTGGTGGGCACAGGACTCACCTTTCGACAGGCTCAATGCAAGGTCAGCTGGGATTAGATGGATATAAAAATCAAGCTGTAGTAGTAATGGAGAAAGGGATATTTAGGGGGTGAGCAGCTATGGCTATTGGTCTCTTCTGGCAAGAGCTTAGAGGACGAACCTGCCTGGGATGATGACTGTACACTGATGAGAAAGCCAAGAGTTCAGCAAAGAGAAAGGGCTGTCATCAGAGTTCAGCATGAGGGCTTAGGGGCCTTGCAGCTGAGTGGTGTAAGACTGGCTGTGATCCAAGGGAGGCTAGATTGTCTGCAGATAGAAGCAAAAGGATAAAATGTGGATGGGATTAGAGTTGGGTGCCCAGTGCCAAGTATTGGAATATTTTTAGGCCACTAAAAAAGCAGGACCTGGGAAATCAGGCTACTTTGGAACACTAACTTGGGGGAGAAGGGGTGTGAGATGTTCCCAACTTTTGTGTGCTATTGGGTGTCTGTTTTAAAGCCCTGCTGGCTGGAATTAAGAGGTGACATGGAAATTTCAGCTTTAATTTTTTCAAAGAGATTTCCAGGACACCAGGCTGCACAGAACTGCTTGAAAATACAAATGAGTGCTTTTGTGCAGCCTGAAGGCTCAAAAACAAGAAGGCAGATAAGTCTGCTTTCTGTTTTTTTAAGTCACTCATTCTATTGTGGGGGGAATCTGACAGTTTTTGAATACTTGTGGTTTGGGACAACATCATTACAGATGGGAGAAACTGAGGCACAGCTGTGGCCCTGGTGACAGAGAAGTGAGTTGAATCTCCTAGTAGGCATATTTGTGCATACCCATTCAAATGATTAACCGATAAGCCTGGACTCATCAGTTAATTCTAACAGTTACATGCCTTCCCCTTGCTGCCTCTGTATCAGAGGCAGCAAGAGGGGGAGGTGGGAGCTGGTGCCCATGAGGAGCTGTCTTTTAAGTCGGCTCCCTGCAGGTGCAGACTCCTGCAGAGCTGCCTTCTCCTCCTCACTGCTGCCTGCCACAGAAGCTGCAGCACAGGGGGGCAGGAGGCAGCCGGTGCTTGGGGAGAGGAAACTAGCTTAAAAGCTGGCTCTCCGCAAGCGCTGGCTCCTGCAGAGCTGATTGACCCTCCCCCCACACTGCTGTCTCTGATAGAGAGGTAACGTGGACAGGTGGGGTGTGTGTGAGGGGGGAAAACACACAGGAGCTGGTACACACAGGAAGCCAGCTTTCAAGCTGGCTCCTGCACGTACTGGCTCTCATGGAACCACCCGACCCCAGGGCTGCCGCCTCTGTATCAGAGGTAGCAGCAGGGGGAGGGCCAGGCAGAAGCTGGTGCTTAAAAGCCATCTCCTTAAGAGCACCAGCTCCCACCTGCCCCCCTACATGTAAACGTGTAACCACTAAAAATTCAGCAGTTAAATGTTTACCCAAATACACTTTTGTTAACATCCCTACCTCCTATACAAACAGACCAGGCACAGTGTTGCCCAAACAGGAAAGGCAAGAAAAGCCTATGAGAAGGAGAAGTAAAACAAATCATAGATGAAAGGAGGGACTAGTGCCAACAAATATAGCTGGGACTGATAAAGCCATAGCCACGCTCCCCTCCACCTCACCCCATAAAAGATCTCCTTCCACCAATGCTACAGTGGCTTGACTTTTATAGCCTTCTAATCTCAGCAGGCCTTGCTCTCATCTGTGAATACATGGGCAGAGGGTGCTACAAATCCTGAACACCTGGCGACAGAGGACCTGTAATATGAGTGTTCTTAAAGGTTCAAGAGCAAAACTTTCTTGGAAATTTCTATTTTCCCCCAAATAATCTCTTTGACCCTTTCCCCCCAATTGTCAGTGAGTGCATTAAAAAATCCAGCATTCTACCAAAGCCATCAGGGTCAAGAGTGGTGCCAGCAGCCCCTGCTGTTCCTGGGAGGAGGCCTTGCTGCAGCAGCAAACCCACCTCCCCAGGAGCCAGGCTGGCAGAGGCTGCTGGCCCCACTCTCAGGGAGGTTTCACTGTGGGCTTTGCAGCTGGCTCCTACAGAGCAGGCTGCTGGAACCCAAGATATGCTGGGACAGAGCCTGCAGAACCTGCGGCGGGGGAAGCTGACTCCCCAGGCAGGCAGAGTTTAACTGATAAGCATGAGCTTCTCGGTTCATCGATTAAACTCTCCTCCCTACTCCTTGTGCTGCCATGGAGTAAGCTGTCTGGCTGACTTACAGTCAAATGAGGTGACAGGATGCGGGCTGTGCACTCCCAGAACTCGGTTTGGAGACCCTGCTGGGCTGTGGATGCGCCTCCCCCTTCTGGCTGCGAAGGGCGAAC